ACACACACACACACACACACACACACACACACACACACACACACACAGTCTGTCAACCTTTTAGGGCCTTTGTTTCCTGGTCTGTAAAATGAAAACGGTTGGCCTAGATGATCTCCTAGGCCCTTCCTAGCTCCAAGTCCTCAACCTTATTTAGTAAAGAAATAGGAAGCCCCAGGCTCCTCAAATACCTTTTCCCTCTTGACTCAAGACTTCAAAGTTTTGCCAAGGTTCCCATTACCCTGGGGCAGGAAGAGTGGGTTAAAGCAGATGTTCATGGTAACCCCAAGGGGTCCTGCTGGACTGTGGGCTCAGGGCTGTTGGGTGGGGGTGGGGCAGGCTGTGGCTTGAGGGAGACCAAAAGGGAGGGCTACAAGGGAGGAAGGGGGATCTCTGTTCCGTGTAACCATACCAGGAGCCTTGTCCATCCAGCATCCTTCCCCTGTGCTGTCCAGATGGAGAGAAGCAGGCGGCTGTGGCTGTATGTGCTGACCTGTGCCCTGTCTCTGCTCATCGGCCTGGAGACCTTGGCTGAGTCTTACCCATCCAAACCTGACAGCCCCAGGCAGGACTCCCCACCAGAGGACCTGGCCAGATACTACTCAGCTCTGAGGCACTACATTAATCTCATCACCCGACAGAGGTAGGAGCCAGGGTGCGCAGTCGGGGCATCTGCTGCCGCCACGGAGGCACCCACAGTTAGGGCCCTCCAACTTCTCTGCATCCCCCCTTTCAGCCCACTGGACTTCAGGATCATTCCTCCTGTGGAGGGCACAGCTCCTCTTCTCCAATATCAGGCTTTTTGTGCCCAAGAAACCTGGCCAGGGGAGAGAAAGAGGCTAGGTTGGAGAAAGGAAAGGAACCAAAGGGACGTGGAGAAAATACAGAAAATGAAATTACAAAGCACTGGGGGGGAGGGAGGGGGTAAAAGGCAAAGCAGATTTCTCAATTTGTCCCCAGCTCCAAATGAAGGAACTATATAGATAAAGCTCACAAAAAGAATTTTCTTCTAATAAATTCTAGCAGGAGGCAGCCTCTCCCAGCAATGATTTGTCTAGATTCAAGATCTGACTCTGAAACTACTGTCTGTGTGACCCTGGGCAAGTCACTTAACCTCTATATGTCACTTTTCTCATCTATTAAGTGGGGATTATTATAGCACGTACCCCTCAGGTTTGTGAGGATGAAATGAAATACTATTTGTAAAGTACTTTGCAAATCTTAAAGCACTGTATAAATGCTAATGATTACAATTGTTATTATGTAAATCTCTAAGACTATATATTGCAGATTTGCTGGTGCCCTGCACTGGTAGAGTTCTCTATCCTAGTGAAATTACAGGTCTAGTTCTGATCCTAAATTCTGGCAAGGGTTTTGCTTGATGAAGAAACTGAAGCCCAGAAAGACGAAGTGAGGTGCACACAAGTAGTAAGTGGGAGAAGCAGGATCTGAACCCATGTCTTTACTCCAAATTCAGTCCACTTTTCCACGGCACATCATGATTTTTTTCCGTTCTTTCAACTCGACTCTTTGATTTCTCAGAAGAAACCTGGCCCTGGAAAGCAGTAAATTGGAGATAAAAACCAGGTCCCTCCTTCTCCTTTTAAACACCAGACTCTGGGACCAAGGAGTCCTCTAGGACATGAGTTCATACCTTATCCATTAGATAATTGGGGCTGCACTTTCAGGCCACCAATCAATCTATCAATCAATCAGTATTTATTAATTGCCTACTATGTGTCGGGCCCTATGCTACTTCCAGTATTTTATTTCAGTGTCATATTGACATTTGAAAGGTCTAAATACTTCTACCCATATGGGGAAGGGAGCATTTCAGTCAAAAGAGTGACCACAATTAATTGATTTCTTTGGGCTCACCTTTAAATAAAAAAATCTTGCCTGGTCAAATTCCCAAAACAATGGGAGATAATTCTAGAACTCAGAGCAGAAAGCAGCAGCAAACAGAACGCTGAGCCTGTCCTAGCACACCTTCTGCAGGCCAGTGGCTCTGATAGTGGGTAGTTGAGGCATTATGGACATTTTGCTTGGGACTCAACTGAGTATAAAATCCTAGGAAGTTGCCAGAGGCTTAGAGGTTAAGTGACTTATCCAGAGTCACATAGCTAGCAAGTGTCCTAGAGTATCAGAGGAAGGACTTGAACCCAGAATTTTGCACCCAAAGGTACCATATTATCTTGGAAGAGGGAGTGCTACTTTTATATATTCTTGACAAGGTGACTGTCTTTTTTTTAATAATTGGAAATTGATTCCAAACTAGTTCAATTGTTTTTTCCTTATAAAGGTTCTCTATACCAGTAAAAATGGGATTCAGCAAGGCTTTTGAATCAATTCCAATTTATTTAGCATTAGAAATGGAGAATAACATAATGAAATCATATGTCTAGGGGTTCGCAAAATTATAAGAATTTAATATGGGATCATCAGTTTGAGCTAGAATCAATCAATCGATGTGTACTTATTAAGCAGCCATTTTGTTAGTCACTGGAGAATAGAAAGAAAAAAATAAAACAGACTCTGCCCTCAAGGAGCTTATACTCTAATGGACCATATAGAAGTATGGGCAAAGATATAGAAGGGACCTCAGAGATGGACTAGTCTAGTCCAACCTTTCATTTATTTGTGGGATACTGAGGCTCAGGAAAACGAAGTGAGGCACACACTTCATTCAAGGACACACAGACGGTAAGTGATAAAGAAGGGAGTTAAACCCAGATGCTCCGGCTCCCAATAAAGCAATAATATTGTTTACACTAAGCAGTTTCCCAGAAAGCTAATAATTTCATATTTCAGGCGAAGGAACAATGTGGAAGATAAAACAGCACAGAGAAAGCAAAAGGCATTTTGTTAATAGCCGTCATCTTTTCCAGGAAATTGCCTTAGCTTGCTACTGAAGCTTATTGAACACTTATTAAAAAGAATTTTTTTTGGACAAAAAATTATCTTCTGATTAGAGTTAAACAAATATAATATTTTGCTATAGATTAATTATATTATGTGTATATATATTATATATATATATATCATTATCCTATTATCAATAGGAGCCACATACTGAAAAATGAATAAATACATTTCATTTGCCTGGCAGCCTAGCAAAGAGAGTGGGAGCCTTAGGGTCAGTAAGATCTGGGTTCAAGTGCTCCTCCTATCCATGTCTGTGTGACCCTGGACAAATTATTTAATCTTTCAATATCTCAGGTGACTCCTAAATTGGCTTCAGACACTTACTAGCTGTGTGACTCTGGACAAGTCACTTAACCCTGTTTGCCTTAGTTTCCTCATCTGTAAAATGAGCTGGAGAAGGAAATGGCAAACCATTCCAGTATCTCTGCCAAGAAAACCCCATACGGGGTCACAAAGAGTTGGACGTGGCTAGACAGCAGCAACAAAGTCAGAGACTGTAGTGGTCTAAAGAGTTGCTGAGACCAGGAGTTCCCCAAGCTAATGAAACCACAAAAATATTTCCTTATATTGGGTGGACATTTTAAACTTACATTGTTTCTTCTTTTAGATATGGAAAGCGATCCAGCCCAGAGACCCTGATCTCAGATCTCTTGTTGAGAGAAAGCACAGAAAACCTTCCTAGATCCAGGTATGAAAAGGGTTCATTTTTTTAAAAATATCAGTTCTCTTTGTGTATGACTTAAATCTAGTGAAATAAAGTCTTGGTGTTTCTCATAGACATCTTATGCTGCTTTTCCTGTTCCTCTCCCCACTTCCCAGCTGAAAACCCCTCTTTTCCTTCTGGCATAATCTGTGAAGGATTTGTGATAATTTCATTTGAAAAGATACTTTAAGAACAGTCCAAAAGAAAAACAAATCCAAATTCAGCTATGGTTTTAAAATATGTTAAAACTTGGTTGTCACTAATACTGGTGTCATGTAGAAAGTGATATTAGAGGGATGGGATACATGCATATCTATGTAGGGGATGAGAGGAAGGATGAGAGTAACATAGCAGGTTCAGAAAATCCCATGATATCGTTCCCAAAGACAATAAAGTCTCAGGTAACCAACCTTGTCCGTCCGGTGTTTGTGCATGCATCTCTAGGAGCTGAGATCACAGAGCAATGACAGTAGGGGTTTTTTCCTGGTCTTAGGGAAGTCCATGGAGCTCGAGGGGGAAAGGTTCCAATTTTGTATACTTATATCGACTTAAAAGAGCCTTCTAGGGTGTGAGGTAGCAGCCTTCAAACCTTCCAGACTGAGTTTGTCTACCTGGTCCTTTATCTTGAACTTTCTTATGAAATGCACTGAGACTACTAGGTAACCCCAGGAAACAGCCCAGGGAGACAGCAACTCTCCGCACGCCTAGCTCTGCCGGGTGGCCAGCACTGGGGAGTAAGCAGAGTCCTGTTGAGAAAGAAGCTAGAGTGAGCGTGCTGAGGAGCCAAGAGCAGGGTGTAGCTGGGTGCCTGCGTGGTAGTGTGTGACTATACAGCATAATGTAAGCACTCTGAGGGCAGGGACTGTTTCCCCTTCTGTCTCTGGGGCCCCTAGCACAGAACTCAGTGCATAGAAGGGATTTAAAACATGTTTGATTGTAATGTACTGTTAAGCTGTTTTTCCTTTTAACTGGAAAGGAAGTCAGACTTGGGATTAGAAGGTTTATCTAAGTGGACAGCGCTTTAATGTAAAATATTAAGTCTAGCGATAGAATTTCAGGTTCGGCTGGTGGGCCAGTGGAGGAAAGGTCTTTAGGCAAGGTCTCCTACAACTCCCTAGAAATAGAACAGAATAATTCCTAGCCCCATAACCTGATGACCACACACAGACACACACACACACACACACACACACACACACACACACACACACACATGTCTGTCTGTCTCTCTATTGATCTATCTATTTCCCTGTCTATATCCACACACGGGTCTGGATGACTCAAAGAATCTAGGTTTACATTTTTTGCATTCACCAGTGAGCAAATTACGAAATAATCAAGTGAGGGTGTAAGCAAGAAACTACGAAATGATTTAAACTTTTAAGAAAACTTGTCCCCATCAAATACTAGCTTGGGGAAAGAATTCTTAGTAAAAAACAAACAAGGTTAACTTCTAGCTTTTTAATTAGTAAGCAATGATTTGTCTCCTCCACACTCTAAGTATTTGTAAGAACCGAGTGAGGTGGGAGGAAATTGGAGGTCAGAAGCCCTGGGACTGAATCCTGGTTTTACTGCTTAATCTTGGTTGGACTTTGGGCAGACATTCACCACTCTGGGCCTCTCAGTTTCTGCGTCTTCAATGTGAAGTGGGCAAACACGACAATCTTCAAGGCCACTTTTGGCTCTGGGGCCTGTAAATTGCCATTAACCTAATACTTTTAGATTAAATTTATCCCGAACTTTAAAAACTAGTTAAATCTATATATGTTTTTTACCTAATAATAGAGACAACTAGGTGTTGCCACAGTGCATAGAGCATAGACCTGAGCTCAAATCTAACCTCAGACTAGCTGTGTGACTCTGGTCAAGTCACTTAAACCCCTGTCTGCCTCAATTTCCTCATCTGTAAAATGGGGATGATAATAATAGCACCTATCTCCCAGGGTTGTTGTGAGAATCAAATGAAATACTATTTATAAAGCATTTAGTGCAGTGCCTGGCACAAAGTAAATGCTATGTAAATGAAAGCAATCATTTATTTACTATTTATAATTATCATTATTATTCAACAAATGGGCATAGTCAGTTCAAGATTCCAGCGTACAGAATAAACACATTATTATTGTTAAATCTGGGAAAAAGAAAGTAAATTGGAACATTAAAGTGAAAGTTTTCTGGGATACATAGGGAACCATTTTTTCATATCTGAAGGGTGGAAGAGAGGTGAGGTTTGTTCTGTTTGGCCCCAGAAGATAGAACCAGGAGGAAAAGGTAGAAGTTGCAGGATTATAGGTTTAGGCTTTGATGGAAGGAAAAAATTTCTAACAATTAGAACTATCTCAAAGTGGAATTAACTGTCCCAGCAAGTAGTGAGCTCACTGTCACTAGGGGTGTTCAAGCAAAAGCTGAAAGCCCACTGGTCAGGGATTCAATCTGTTCAGATACAGGTTAGGCTAAAAGACCTCTGAAGTCCCTCTTAACTTTGAGAATCAGTGATCTTGTGAAAAGACCAGACTGTAAATACTACCTTATCCCAGCAAGTTGACTTGCAGTCTTTTCTCCCATAATCCTTTGAAGTTTTCTGCATTTTGGGTGCCCTTTGAAAATCTCAGGTACTAAAAGATTAGCCCCCAGGCATAGTTCTGTTCTGCTCATGAACTTCAGACTCAAACCTCTAAAAGACACAATAAAGAGTCTCCCTGTGGTGCTAAAGACAGAATGAAAGGTTTGTGGGAAAATATAGCGACTGGATCTTTAATCACTAAAAGACGCAGCATGGAATACTTGGATGAGCACTGGACTAGCTGTCAGATCTGAACTCTATTCCTATGGCCCAAGGCAAAGCAAGGTAGTCACTTCAACCCACGAGCCTCAGTTTCTCCATCTGTAAAATACAGCTAGCTGTAAGGCTCCATCCAATTCAAGAGTCCTATAGTTTATATAGAGAATACAATTTGGACTATGTGAAACAATGTACCATATTGTAAGCTCCTAGAAAGCTCCCTTAGCACTTCAAACCATTGTATATAGTTTTTTGAAATTTCTCACTGAAATCTAAAGAATCAAACTCTAAGGCCACATTAAGAAATAATCACTAATATTTATATAAAGCAAGAGGTCTCCATCTACAGACAAAGAAACTGAGCCTTACAGAGGTTAATTGGCCTGCTCAAGGCCACACTGCTAAGAAAAGGAAGAATTAGGACCTGAACCCAGCTCTTTCTGATGCCAATGATCTTTCTACTACACACACAAAAATATAGCAATGACATGCACGAAAACAGAGTCAAAACGGATTCATCCACTAGGGAATTGAAACTCAATGTCAGGGCTTTACAGATTAAATAATAAAAACAGCAACAATTATTATTATTATTGCCAGAGAAGGGAGTGGGAAATTAAAAAAAAAAATCCTTCCCTTTTTTCATTCCACTTTGCTTGAATTCTGGGCAGGGAGGAACAGTCCTAGAATGAACCTACCACTTTAAGATGAAATGACCAGATTCTAGATTGGGTCAGATCAGTCCTGTATGTTAGACAGTTTATAATGGCTGAGTGAATAGTCATTGCAGGATTTACCTCTGACAAATCTAACTCCAACTGCAGACAAATGGTAGTTTTGGAATTCTCTGTGAATGACAAAGGTAAAGATAGAAGACACTTCAGAGATCATCTAGTCCAATCCCCTCATATTACAGATGAGGAAACTGAGGTCCAGAGAGTAATGACTTGTCCAAAGTCAAACAGATAGCACATGGCAGGGGTAGGATTCAAACCCAGGTCCTAAGCAATATGTTGTTGCTTAGAACCCTGACTATTGCTTGCAGAATGAAGCCAACTTTGGAAAAGGATGTGTCCAAGGGTCTAATAGCAACCTCAGCTCTTCTGACTCTAAACCTCGTGCTTTTTCCAGTGGACCATTTATTCTCACTTATTGATGATGCCCTCCCTCTCCTACCTTCAGCTTCCCACTATTTCTTCCCAACAGTTCTGGTCCATACCTCCATTAGTTGCTGTTAGAGACCTTCACAACATCAAGAGCTAAATTTACCAGGAGAGGGTGCTACAACCCCTCCTTTTCTGTAGTTGCATATTAGTTCTGCCATTGCTATGATTTTTCTAAAGTGAACGGCACTGAGTGGCTGGGTTGGGTTTGAGTTGAGCCACAGGCGCCTCCTTTCACCCAGTGCCCACCAATTAGCCTTGGCCAGGGTTAAGGGCACAGTGTATGACTTTTGTTTGTGTGAAACTGGCCTGCTGCCAATTAACTGAGCTCACCCATTCAGACTGAGATGAGGAGACTGATGATCTCCAAATGGATGTCAAGTAATGAAGTATTTGTTGGAGAATCAGGTGTAAATTTGTACTAGTAGTACTACTACTAGTACTAGTAGGTGCTAGAAGGTAAGATCCACCAGTGTTCAGAGAATAAAAAGTCAAACTGAGTCATGCATGGCTTTGTTTCATACTCTTCAGTTTGAAAATTTTTAATGAAATAAAGTTAATTGCATCCTAACTTGCATTATCTGTTCTAATTACGAAATCATATGGAAGAACAATGAAGTGGTGAGTCTGGATAACCTTGAGGTTGTCTGTGAATTTTCTGTGTGTGTGTGTGTTTGTGTGTGTGTGTGTGTGCGCGCGCACGTGCGCACGTGCTCTTGTGGGTGCACGAGTGCTGCGAGAGGGAGGGAGGGAAGAAAAGAGAGAGAGAGAGAGAGAGAGAGGGAGGGAGGAGATTGTTCATAATATAAACATTTAGTTCTTCCAACATAAAATGACTTTCAAGAAAACAGAAATGCCCTCAATTTGCTGAATGATAGTAACCTTTGTTTTCAAATTTTGGGATAGTCCCTGAGACCCAGAGAACCATAGATTTGTTCTACTGGTAATGAAGGCTCCTCCAAACAGGGTTTTCCCCTCTTCTTTCCTTCTTTCTTTCCTCCCTCCTTCCCTCCCTCTTTTTTTTTCTTTTTTTCTTTCCTCCCTCCCTTCCTTTTTCCCTTCCTTCCTTCCTTCTTTCCCATCAGGAAAGTCCTATCCTTGCCCTTTGACCACCTGCCATTACAGGGCTCCATTTCTTTCTGTTTCTACTGTCTCGGGAGGTTGGAAGGTTTTCATCTGGACAGTTTACAAGCTATTGATTCTCCTCTTTTACAGGTTTGAGGATCCTTCCATGTGGTGATGGGAATTCCAGCTCATCTTCAGTTTTTTCCTATTCTCTCCCATATTCCAGGCTACAAAGCCTGGTTTACCTGGGTATACCAACCTTGCCAATGCATGCAGCCCCCTTCCCCACATCCCTTGAGTTTATTTCCCACGATTTTCTTGAATATATGTTTATTTAAATAAATTGCCATGCATTCAAAATGTAACAGCAAATGAAAATTTTACTATTGGAAGAGTAAGGATTGTTGTATTATTAAATGCTATTAAAACCTCATCATAGTCTGTAGTAGCATCTACACAGTCGTTCCCCTGGTTTTCCTGAAGAGAAAGGCTGGAATCTGCAAAGTGAGAGCAAGACTCAAATTAGTTTATAGAATTGAGAGAGAGAGTATTTATTAAGTGCTAACTATGGGCCAGGAGCTATGTTAAATGCTGAGTTACAAGCACAAACAAGCAAGGCAGTCTCTGCCCTCAATGAGCTCCCATTTTTAATGGGAGCAGAGCTGGCAATACTGGTAACTAATGGTCAATTTGGGAGAAATCTGAGAAGATTTTTGGCTTTTCCCTGTTACCGCTGGTACCACCATTGCAGAAGCCTCTTGCTTTCTGTAGAGAGGATCATAGAATCAGAGATTTAGAGTAGGAAGAGACCTCACCAATCCTTGAGTCCAGCTTCCTCCTTTTGAAGATGAGGAAGCTAAGATCCAGACGGACAGCTAGTAAGTGTCTGAGGCAAGGTTTGAATCTAAGTCTTTCTGACTCCCGTTCTGGTGTTCTGCCCACCACAGCAATCCCATCATCATTGTAGTTGTCTGGGACTCAGAAAGGGAAGATGACTTACCCAGGGTCACACGTCTAGTGAACGTCAAAGGAAGGATTTGAACCCAGTTCCTGACTACATGTGCGTCAATCTATCTGTTACACGGTGATGCTCTTTTAGTAGGAACCAAGGAGGTGCAGGGGATGAGCCGAATTTAGATATAAAGATGAAGAAAGGAGGAAACAGAGTCTTCTTTATCACCTTTTGACACAACATGGAATGTGTTAATCAAATTATGCTAAAATTTGTGGAAGTCTTTTCTGCCTTCATGCTTGAGTGCTGAGTACGTGCATGCATCTGTTAGCTCATCCATATGGCTATTCCCCCAAATGATGCATCTCACGATTTATCCCCGCCAGCCCACCCGGGGCTACCCTCATCCATGTCAGGTCTGTCCAACATGCTGTCATCGTGAGGATTACAGCAGCTCACTCTGGATGTCCACCTGTTATCCTTCATCCTCACCATGTGACCAGCCCATCTTCTCTTCCTGCCATTTATTTCTTTGATGACATATTCTTACCCTGGACCTATCTTTTCAGGTAGATGCTGTAACCTGCTTATACTTACCACAACCCTTTCGCTTGATGTAATAATTGATTTTCAATCCAAACAACCCAGTAAATAATAACAGCAACAATGACATTTAATTCCAGGCTGTTTAAAATTAATGTTTAGTTACAAAGTGACAGAATCTAGGATCTCATTCTACATTTGATATTTTTCACCATGCTCAAACAATGCCCACAAATCATATCTTCATATAAAATTCTAAAACTAGACTTACAAGGCCCATGGACAACCAAAAAGCCAAGTGAGTCATATCATACATGCCAGGCTTGCTGTTGCAAGGAACCGGGATTTTGTCAGAGGGGGCCTTCCTTCCATACAGAGACTGCCACCCTTCTGTGTCATGGTAGATGGCCTTTAAGAGTTGCTGTGACCAAAGTCCATCCCCCTGTAGCTATCCTGGTGATGTACCTCTCTACAAATGGTAGTAGTAGTAGTGGTAGTAGTAGTAGTAGTAGTAGTAGTAGTAGTAGTAGTAGAATCCAAAGTTTTAAGGTTTGCAAAGCAAGTTAAAATATCTCATTTTATCCTCACACCTACCCTGAAAGGTAGATGCTATTATTAACCCCATTTTACAGATAAGGAAACTGAGTCAGACAGATGTTAAAGTGAATTACCCAGGGTCACACAAGTAGAAAGTGGCTGAGACAGGATTTGAACTCAGGTCTTTGTGACTCCATGGTGCCATCTCAGCCCCTCCACTTAACTAGGCTGCTTCCTGGATGACAGACTGCTGGCTTGTCCTCAAAGCCTTTATAGTTTGGTTGGACCTGTAGACTTCGATGGCATCTGCTTGGAGAGCCCACAGTCACCTCCAGGTCATTATGAGGTATCAAAGAAGGATGTCATTGAAGGAGCACACACACACACACACACACACACACACACACACACACAC